AGAGAGAGAGAGAGAGAGAGAGAGAGAGAGAGAGAGAGAGAGAGAGATATCCAAAAAACCACATGGCCTCTAGCAAATAAAGGCATATTTAGCATAGAATTTGAACATGTGCATCCAAATGACCTGCTGGGCTCCCACAGCTTTCTGCTCTATTCTGAGCCTCTGTGCTTCTAACCAGTTCTTAGGTGCTGGTTGGCTGGTTCAAGAACTTTCAGAGCTGCAGTTCTAAGCCATGTGCTCTCTGGGCACTGTCACAGGCCAGCCCAGTGGTGCAGTGTTTATCATGGGCCAATTAGAAGTAGGTTCTCAGTCCTAGCTCTCCCTTCCTGCAGCTACCCCATGCAGCTCCCAGGGTGATGTATTTTTTGTTCCTCTGAACAATGGGTCATGGTTTGTCTCTCAGGAACTGGAGGGAAAAGAGAAATGTCCTTAGAGTGATGTGTTCTGAAATGCGACGTCTGAAAAAGAGGCTGCCTCACCAGCTCCTTCCACTGCTAAGTGGGGGTCACTACTCACGCTTCTAGTTTTCACCTCAAAGTCATGCTGACACGCCCAAAAGATACAGGACCCCTGAGATGCTCAAAAGATACAGGACCCCCTGAGATGTCCAGAAGATACATGACCCCCTGAAATGTCGAGAACATACAGGACCACTGAGATGCTCAAAAGATACAGGACCCCCTGAGATGCTCAAAAGATACAGGACCCCCTGAGATGTCCAGGACATACAGGACCCCTGAGTACTATGCATCCTTCACTTGCCTGACCCCCTGCCCATGTCTGGATCCCACTCAGAGCCTCCCAGGTTGCCCTGACGCATCCCAGGCATCTAGAAACAAAGACTTTGAGAGGCTGCAGGTCTTTGAGAAGCCCAGTGGTCTCCCAGAAATTATGAATGTCAGAAAGAACTAAACGAAGCTATCACAGGTATGAGAAGAGTGCAAGCAGTTCAATGGGAAAAAAGCTAAGTGAGGAAGGCAACAGCAGAAGCTAATATTTGGAAGAAAGGGCAGAGTCATTTCAAGCCCCAGTATTTTAGTTTATTTTGCTATTCACATGATCATATTCCACCATGTTCCAACAGTATTTGACATGGCAAGCGAAACACCAAGTCTGCAGGTCAGCTTGAAACATCCACACCATCTATAACAGCTCGAAGGACTCATTTAGCTTCATGTGCATCCTTCCAGGGATCAGGGACTAAGGTAGCATGTGTTGGTGGTCATGGTCCTGCCTCATCTGGCTAATGGGCATGGATATCTGTGTATGCACATGTCCTAGAGTGCACGGAGCATCTCAGAGGATGGGACACGAGGATACTGACAGACTCCATCAAGTCTCCTTTATGTCTCTCCCACTTACCCATTCCAGATGCTCTTGCGGTTCACCCAGACCACAGTGCTGCCACTTCAGCCTTCTTCAGAGGCTTCCCAGGCTTCCCACACCACTGGGCCTCCTGAGGAGAGGGCCATGGAATTGGGAGGTGGCGTTTCATGAAGGAGCAGGCTGGAAGCAGAAGTTGCTGCTCATCCAACTTCCCTTCCCTATAGCTGGACGCACTGAAGGGTTTTGCAAACAGCAGAGCAGCACCCAGCCCCAGATGGATGTGGTGGTTGGGAGAGGGGTGGTGTGCACAGTTCCTTGTCTCCCCCCTTGCTTCACCTACATTTCCTGGAACACTACCTTAGAGAACATTGAATTTAGCAGGCCCAGTTGCTTCTCAGCTCGCCCCCTTCTTAGCAAGCTTTGTAGCTGTAGGCCATTGTGGTGTGGTTCCAGGCCGGTGTTGTGCCCTTAGCCCTGCCTGAAGGGAGTGCGGTGCATCTGTCTCAGACTGCACCTGTTTTCTCCTTAACAATTGCCCAACTCAGGACTTCTAGAATTACCACTGTAAGGAAAGCAAATACCATGCCAATGCTGTTCATGCTATAGTCATTTGGGATAGCCTTTGGGGACAGGGATGCTGGGAGACAGATGTGTATTCTACCAATACACAAAGAAGATCATCTGGCCCTTCTTGCTCCTCTTGAACTGTGGAGATCTTGAGATATTCCCTAACTGCATATGTCAAGTCTCCTTCTGCTCCTATGCTGATCTGTCCCTGTCACTTAATATAAAAGCTGCCACAGACACCAACCAATCAACTAGGCTGGGTATAGGAGGAAACTCTAGGAAGGCATCTGTGCCGTCCTGGAACCATATTTCATTTTGATGCTAGCCCAGGGTAGGGATTTGCAGACTGGATAAGGGAATAATCAATATTTTGGAATGGTGACATTCAGTTTTTCCAGATACCACTGTACCTTTAATTTATTAGCTTTCCATAAAAACACAGAACACTCACAATCTACAGTATACAAAGTATAATTTACAAAAATATAAAATCTTGGTTATTTTTTTAGTATTCCAACATATTACTGTATGCATTATTTCCATATGCATGTTTAAACAACCCATACCTAACTTGTACTATTACCTCTGTGGGGGATGGGGTCAACTCTCTGTTTTGCTTTGAAATAAAAATACATATATTAAAAGAGGAAATCAATCTTGATTACATGTGCATATTGCATGTATAAAAGTGTGTGTAGTGAAATGTAAGAGGGAATGCCCATTCATGCCATGGTTTAGGTCCTGTGTTTAGTATGCAGCCCTAAGGTTTTAAGATAAGCATTTAAACTGCCATAGCTAGGGACTGCCCCAAGATTTGCATAGTCTTTCCAGGTTTTGAGAGGACAAATGTCTGGAGTTGACATTTGTGGATGCATGCTATTTCTAAGCCTTGAAAAATGTGGGCAGGGATGATGGGCAAATTGCAGACCACAGTTAATTCCAGATTCCTTCCAGGAACTCAAAAAGTCTTTACAGAGCTATCACTAGCAAGAAAGAATGGAAGAATTTGTTTGTGGCATGGTGGGCAGATCTTTCTTGGTCCCAGCGGGGCTGCCTATAAGCTCTGTCTAGCACCTGGAACTTCCCCGAGTCAAGTCCTGGCTCCAAGACTGCCACTCTGCAGGGCAAGGATGAAGCAGGTCTGCCTTCTGTCTTGAAGCCATCTTACCGACAGGCACAGGTCTCTACGGACATATTGGGGTACACCTTCAGAACCACATTCCGATTCTCATCCAGGAAAAGGACTCCAAGAGAGTTCATCTTGTCTGGAACACAGCATGGCTCTGGGATGCCAGGGACAATCCCCACAGCTCTGACAATGCTCTGGATAGTGGCATGGTTGGATGGGCGGACAATCTACAAGATGAGAAAAGACAGTTATCTCAGAGCACATGGTTTATCGCTTCTTTTCAAAGGAGGCTATGTAAAGGGTGGACTTGAAGAAAAGGCCTCTGCCCTTAGCTAGCATGTTTCCTCTGAAACTGTTACAGGCTCAGTCCTGGTGCCCCTAAGTTTGCCCATTTATTCTAGATATTTTATCTGCTACATGTAACTGGCCACTTGGGGGCGCCTGCTAGAAACACCTGGAGCTGGAAGGAGGCTTTTGCAAGGGAAAGCCTAGAATCATGTCTCACTCAGTCAGCAGACATGCCTCCAGAGTGACCCTGGTTAAAACCAAAATGATACACTTGGTGTGGCAGGGACCACAGACAGGCATTTTAATACGTGTTTGACTTGGGGTGACAGGTGCAGCATTCAGGCATCTTCTCGGTTTTGATGTCTTATTAATGTATATTGACAACATGACCTTCATTGTACTGACACAGATAACATGGCTTAAAATGGCCAAGAAACATGGTCAAGATGTCTCACATAGGAAGTAGCCTGGCCTGGGAAGAGTGGGCACCTCTGAAAAGATGAACACAGACAGCCAGGTCATGGGCTTCGGCTCTTGGCTGGCTGATCAGAGCTGTCGTGGACAAGCCTTATGCTGTTGCAGGAGAGAGGAGGCAGCAAGCCAGGCTGATAACGCAGCAGCTGTGAGCCCACATCTGTCTTGGTCCCATGCGAAGCCCTTCAGCAGATTATCTTTCTCTGCCAGCTGCCTCCCTTCCTCTGTCTTGTGCTCGTGCATGCATGGATGAGGAAAAGCCCCTTAATTCCAGACAGATTATATGACCCACATCTGGGTCCGGAGTTTCCCACTTAGTCTGTTTATTGAGTTGGATTTATGAACTAACTTTACTTTTTGGAAGACATACCACAGAGTACTCTGCAAAGCTAACTGAGAGGGAAACTGCTATGGGTGCTGAGAGTTGACAGGACCAGCCTACTACAACACAGGCTGCAACAGGGTGATGGATAGATGGAGTTAACCCAGCCTGGAGGAAGGTGAAAACTCAGGGTCAGGAAGATAAAACAGTCCAGGACTATGTATCTTCTAGATTGCTGTGCACTGTGAAGGATGGTTGACCCACTAAATGTGTCAAATCAGCGACAGCTCTCTGAGAGAGCCACTGACACCAAAAGCAGTTTGATCACTGGAGTCAGTGCTCCTGGTTCAGTCAGGCTAAACAGGCGAGCCTTGGTCAGGAAAAAAAAGTTGGATACGTGACCTGTCCACCAGGGGGCAGCACTGACTCAATCTCTGCAGATGGCTGCTCTGTGGAGATGCCCCACCCTCCCCCTGCTTCCAGGGAAGAGATGCATTGGTTTTAAAAACCCAAATTCAAAGCGAGGTATAGTGGAACATGTCTCCAATCCCAGAGAGCTGGAGGTGGAGGGGTTAAACAGGAAGGCTGAAGCCATGCAAAGACATGGTTTCAGGAAAAAAAAAAAATCAAAGCCAACAACTTAAAATAGTATCATTTTAAAAAGTACCGTGAAGCCAAAAAAATCCTAACAGATTATGGGGACATCTCTATCTGTTTCTGCCTCAGCAGACAGGCGATGCATCGTTTCCATTTTGCAAATGATAAGACACATCAGGCAGGTAGAGGGGTGGCCAACTGGGACAGAGCCAAGGTAGAATGAGACAAGATCAGAACACAGAAGCAGTACCTTGGGCATGGGGAATTCGCAGGCCCCAGCGCAGTAGTAGGCATCAAAGGATTTAGGTGAGATGATCCATTCATTCCACCCGATGTCTGCAAAATCCACCTTCAGGTACCTCCTGGAGCAGACCCGTGGCTCATCCCACTGCCGCCTCCTGGCTTTCTGCATCGTCTTCTCATCAAAGTCCAGTACCTGCGAGGAGGCGGTGAATGTATCCTGGTCCTTCTTCTTGCGGTCTTTGCGTCCGGCGCGGGGTTTCAGTGCCCGGAAAGGACTGGACCAGAACTCGTGCTTGTGGAAATGCTGGGCATGCAGGGCAGGCGCTGGTCTTTCGTCCAGCCCTGGCAGTTCATTGTCTTGCAAGGGTTTAGACACCTGAGCCGCTCTGCGCACGCGGGGATCAGCTGAGCTGTTGGGGGCTGCTCCAGGCTCGAAGTCTCCAGCTGGAAATGGGTCGTATCTCTGTAGCGTCACTGCTACACTGTTGGGCTCCGAAATGGCCAGGTCATTGGCATAGACAAGGATATAGGGCATGTGGAAACTGGGCTGTGGCACTCCGGGGTCCTTCTCTCCAGAATCCAGCTGAGCAGAGAGAAGCAGTTCTCCATCCCTTCGTGCAGCCTTGATGATTGAAGAGATATCCTTGGCCTGCCACAGGCCACGTGGTGGAGGTGTCAGGGCCATGGCCCCGCGGAGCAGCCCCTGAGTGGCGGTGTTCTGTGAGAGACTGCGGAAGATAAGGTGCAAGCGTGCAGGCAGACCTGGGGTCAGGAGGCGGCAGGATGCATTCTTAGCTCGGGGCTTGCAGAGTGCCTCTCGAGCCCGGGGCCACCGTGGAGGTTCCGAGTAGAAGTGGAAGGTGGCTGTGAGGATCATTTCTGAGTCTTGCATGGAAGTCAGGTTGAAGAAATACACGGGCTTCTGGTCGATCACTTCTGTAAGGGAAAGACAAACCATGACTTGTTTCATGCCCTTCTCAGGTTTCTGCCCAGAAGTGGGATAGCAAAATAATTTCTACTGATCTGGCATTCTAGCAGGGCCCACTTGTCTTCCCTCTCGCCTTGCAGTTCTCACACTGAAGGTGTGAAGGCCCTCTCAATGAACTTGCACCACTGAGGGAGGTGTATTGGCTTAGGGCTGGAAAGGTGCTCCAAAGGGAGGGGGTAGTCTTCATCACGTTGAGAGGAATCAAGATGAAATAGGGAGAAAAGGAGGGAGAGGAGAAGCAGAGAGAGAAGAGGCAGGGAGGGGGAGACAGAGGGTGATGTTGAAATGTATGTAAGACACTAAAGCTCCCGCTGTTCCCTGCTTGCCTTCCACTGGCTGTCAAAGAGCAAATGAGCATGGCTGACAGCTTCACTAAGAGCTCATGATAGCTTGTGTTAGTTAGTTACAGGACCTGCCTCAGGTATTTGCACAGAGCCTGTGCTATGCAGTTTTTAAAGGCCACTTTTGTTGAGCACGATCACGCTTCTAAATGAAGTGAAATAGGTAATCTTCACTTTTTTCTTGCTGCAGTTTTAGCACCTTTTAAAGTAATATAGGATTAAAAGCAGCCATTCAGTGTTTGTTATGTCCCAGGACTTATAAATTGCTGCTATTATTATTATTATTATTATTATTATTATTATTTTACAATACTTGGGAGGCAGAGGCAGATGGAGTTCTATGTAGCCAGCCTAGTCTACATAGTAAATTCCAGGACAGCCAGAGCTGTCCATAGTGAGACTCTGTCTTGACAAAAAGCAAAGAACAACAAAAAAAAGGTTTTTTTTTTGTTTGTTTTTTAAGGAGATAGCAATATGGGTTCAACAGTATGCTACTCCACTCCAAGGCTCACATCGTCTTCTGGAGATGCAAGCCCAAGCCGAGGAGAGCCAGGCACACTCAGCACATCTATCTGCTGTGAGCTTGGAAAAAGCTTCCACTCATGCTTTCCTGTGGCAGCTGGAAGCCCTTTCCTTCTCTCCTGGTTCTACTAGGTGTTCCCCAGGGCCACCTGCATCACCCCAGCCTTGACAGCAAGGTAAACTCTCTGCCATGAGGAAGTCCTCTCTAGGTTTCAGAAGGGAAGAAGGTTTTTTTTTTGTCATTTCTACCTTGGTCACTAAAGATCAGGAGAAGACCAAAGCAGCTGGGTAGACTTCCTCCTTCTCCAGCCAGAGTTCTACCTGCCTGGTACAGCTGGGAGAGGATCAGAGCTTGTAAGCCCAGAAGGTGTATGTTGAGGGGGTGTTATACGCCTCAAGAGACAGATTGGTCTGTATGACACCCATTTGTAGAGGATGAGCTGGGCTTATTTTTAAAGATCCATTGGCTTAAGGCTGGAAAGGTGTTCAATGGTTAAGATCACTTACTGCTCTTGTAGAGGACCCAGGTTCGGATCCCAGCACCTACACAATAGCTCACAACTGTCTGTAACTTCACTTCCGTGGGATTTGATGCCCTCCTCTGGTCTCCTTGAACACAAGACATGCATGCAGAGGTATAGACACTCGCACATAAGCAGAGAGTAATAATAAAACATTAAAAAATTTAAAATTCTCCAAAAATCTACTCACTAGCTGAATATTTTGTTTCTATTGGGAAGGAAGTACAACTCTATTGGGAATATCCAAATATTCATACTCTTATTTATTTACTTATTAATTAATTAATTTATTTATTTTCTCTCATATATTACATTGTGACTGCAGTTATCCTCCACTTATTCATACTCTCTTAATGGACTTTGTAAAGGAGAGAGAAGGGGGGAAACACCTACAGTAGACCGAGTGAAGACTGAAGATGTTACCATACCTGATCCTCACACCACCAGCAGACAGGTGTATCAGCCCTGCCACGTGTGAAGTGATGCTGGGTCTCAAGAACCTGGCCTCCTGGAACTCTGTGGCTTTGAGTGCCATGATGTGGAGTCCTACCTCCAAACAGGCATGTCAGGGGGTTAAGAATATTGGGGAAGCTGGGGAAGCACTCACCTCAGAGGAGGTGTGTGAATGTGCAGAACTACTTAGCTAGAAACTACAGGGAGGTCTCCCTGCTCTTGGCCGTGGCCTGGGGCTCCTGCACGGCGTGCATGTAGACATCAAGGGGAGAGCCTGTGTCACCTTCTGCCTCCTGCTCACTGATCTATGTGCACGGAAGCTCACTCTCTGCAGGACACACCCCTAAGCTTGAAAACACCCTAGAAAACAAACTCCAGACCCTAGAGGAGAACATCATACTGTAAGTGTTATTCTTTCATTACTCTTCTAGGGAGACTAGAATCCTCAGCTTATTTGATCCTTGGAGGATTAAAGAAATGACCCATGCTGTATCCTTATGATAAGGGATCCACAAAGGTACTCCCCTGTCATTTTCATTTAAAGGACCAAGGATGCCAGAGCAAGGGTTTCCTTTACAAACTCAAACATGCTCACTATCACTTGGTCTCTATAACATCTGACTTGGCAATTTGTGTTTGCCTTTAATCCAGTTCAAGTGTTAATTAGCCTGCTCATTGGTCCAGAGTTGGGAGGATCCTTCATAGGCCAGGTGAGAAGGAAGGATTCTACTACACTTGGCTTGAATGCATGTGGGCAGAGGGAGCTCACCCCTCACTAGGCAACTTGCTCAGAAAGACATTCCCTTGTGGGAGATGCTGAGTGAGGTTCAGATGGGACACCCCCAGCCCCAGATGCAAGTCAGGAGCTTCAGGCTGTGGCTGGGAGTTGGAGCACCTCTAATGTTTCCAGCTAGGTAGGGGCATAGGGCACCAAGGAGAAAGCAACAAGAGAAGTTGCTGTCCTATAACCTGTGCAATAGCCTTGTGTGAGCCTCCTGTCTCACTGCCAATGAGAAGACACCTTCCCTCCTCGCTTCCTCCATTTATCCATCCTGTATCCCAATAAACATTTGCAAAAGGCCTACTCTGGCTAAGCAGTGTGGTGCTTGGTGTCTTGACAAAGATAGTGCTTGGGAGCCTCTTGGGAACACAGAATGGTAACAAGCATAATTATTCTCGGGGTTTGGTCACATTAGGGCTTTACAGAGCCCCATCTAAGCAAGGTACCAGATTATGGGAATATTCAAGCTGCACATCTCTCCTGTTCAGGCTCTGCTACCTAACTAGAGATCCTTTACTAAGTCCCCACTTGAGGTCCCAGCCAATCACCCCAACTACTTCTGTCCTCTCCACTCCAGGTCCCATTCTACTGGCTTTCCTCTGAGTGGCATGTGTCAGTAATAGTACCTTTGCCTTCATGGCTCTCCTATGAGGCAGGCCTCTTCCAGATCTCTGCTCATATGGTATCACCCTTTGGTTCCTGTGGCTGAAGACTCACTCAGTACTGTCCACCCTGACTTTGTCTTCAGGGCATTCCTAACATCCTGATGTGTATTTGTTTGATACTATATATACTTCCAGAACACATTTCCCAAGAGGACAAGGGCTTTGCCAGATGTGCTTCATGGGGTATCTCTAGATCCTAGCATAAGCCTAAGAGCTGCTGCTCAGAAACAGATGTGAATAATGGGATTCCTAGTGCATACCCTGCACTGCAGGAACACCTCAAGGGGATGGGTCAGAGTGGCTCTATTGCTTCGGTTAACAAAAGGGGAGTTCTTGACTCGTCAGAGAGAGCAGGTAAGTAGCCTAATGTCCTATAGCTGCTGAGAGGAGAGTCAGGTGTGTCTTTGGGTGTTCCTCACCTGAAATGCATGCCCTTTGCTCCCCAATGTGTTCTGTCTATTGTCACGATGTGACAAGAGAGCCTAAGAGAGTAGGCACACCATTCAGAAGATGCTAACTTCTATGCAAGCTGGAGGTAGGAGGTACAGAGTCAGTCCCTTGTCAGTAGAGAAGAAGCAGGACAGGCCTGTGTCGAATATCTGTGTTTCAGGGTCTTTCTGAGTAGGAGGCCTTATAAGCCATCTAACTCTCCAACAGAGGCAGAGAATTCTCTCTCCTCCTTCCTCCCTTTGAACTTCAAAGCAACCCCAGTCACTTGTCTTTGTAGATGCTGCAACCTTTTCATCATGGCTTTTTTCTCCCCTGGCCTCAAGTGTAACAGTTACCTTATAATTGTCAACTCTCGATGTCAGACACATGCTTCAAAAGTATCATCTATGAGAAATAAAGGGTTAATATCCCCACTATGTAAGAAACCTCAGCAATACCCATACGAAGAGATCATTTCCTGGGAAGAACTGCAGAGACCAAAGGGCACAGTAAATTCCTCAAGGTCATTGGTAGATGGGAATACCTGCATGCAGAAAATGCAACCCTATTAACAGCTACATGCCTGCGTGTGTGCATATGTCTGTAGATATATGTGCATTTTTTGTGTACAATTTGAACAATTCTACAAAATGCTATTTTAACTTTGCTTCTCATAGGATATGTGATTAGGAATGACTTATGTTTGTTATTGTACCTTAAAAAATAAATGATTTTCCTCATTTTTCTTCCCCCCTCTTTCTTTTCTTTCTGTGCCCTGCCCCCTCAGGGGTAGATTTTGGATATCATTTCATTCTCAACAGGCAAAATTAAGACTCTCTGGGATTGGCTGCAACCTGCATTCCTGTTTCCTCCTAACCAAATACCCAACAGGTCCACTACAGCATGGACTATTTCACTTCTGTAGCCTACCGTCCTGTTAGCTTGCTGTGGTCTTCTCTGGCTGTGAAAACCTGTCCGTCCATCCTCTCCCTGTCAGTGCTACCTTTGGGGATCCTGTTGAGCATCCTCAGCCTGTCACTTCCCCATCACATCTGTCCCTTGGCCCTATTCTTTGGTTCCTCGTGAGCTATTTGGGGGTGAAACCAGTATTCTATGCATCTGTGTGCCCTCCAAATGAAATGCTTAGTAAATGCCCCATGATATTTTTTGGATTTGGTTTGTTTCCAAAGGCAGGGTGTTTAGTCTTCAGTGTGGCAATATTTATGGCTACTGGAATCTTTAAGGGATAATCACTAGGTCACTGAAGATACTTCTCTTAAGAAGATCTCACTTAGTTCCCAAGAGAGGGGCTGTCACACCTGCCTAAAGGCTACCTGTGCCCCCTGCTTTCTGCTTTTCTGTGTTGTCTCCTGATTAATCCTTCTCACAAGTCTTCCAGCCAGAATGCATCTGTTACACTGAGGCATAACCCCAGGTTTACCACCAGAAACATTACCATCATGTTTAGTCTTTCGGCCTCTGAATGTGAACCAGATAAATCCTGCTCCTGACAAGTTACTCAACTCCTGTTATTTTGCTACGGTAACAGAACTAGAGTAAATGTGTGTGAGAATGCAGTGAGCTTGTCTTGGTGGTTTTGACAGCTACGTATTTTTAGGAGATCAAGAAATCTAGTTTGGTGTGACACTGGTGGGTGACAAGCTTGGGGTTAAATGCAGATCACTCATTGGGAGTGTAGAAGTAAATGGTGGTCTAACCTACACCCTTAGGACCAGGCTCAAAGACTTTCCATCCACAGATGGACAGGGAACAAAGTACACTTCAGGGAGGATGGAAGAGGGCAAGGAGAGCTGGTGTGATCATAGTTAAAAGTAATCAGTTGCAAATGAGCACATACCAAGAACTGCTCAAACTACTTGCCATCTCCGAGTCCCTTTGAAACTGTTATCAATTAGGAGGGGAGTCACAATTTAGAAGTGGAAAGAAACGCTTAGAAGTCCTGAGAAGTGCTGTCCCTTGGTGGAGTCTGGGAAATGGGTCAGGGTGCTGCCAACAGACTTGGTAGCTCACACTCAGAACCTGGGCCTCCTGTAGATGAGGGTGAAGCAGCTGTAACAGGTTTTGGGAGTAGGTGCTACCCTGGGGAGGCAGCAGAAACCTGCCCATGTGGAGTCTGCTGGGATTGGTAGGATCCAGGATCAGGGCCGTGGCAAGGGGTCTGTGCTCGGCTCACAACACCCCACAGACTCCAGATCAAGAGGCAGGAGCATCTGAGACTAGTTAGGAAGAAATGTAGATGAGTCCAGGCAAGGTACAAGCAACCAAGCCCCGACTGAGTGCCAGGCGCAAACCTACCTTCTATTCACTGCTCACCCCATCACACAAGAAAAAAACCTCAGAACAGGGAGGTGATTGATATGTCCCATAGCACACAGCCAGTACCTGCTGAAGTTGGAATTCACTCTTTACTTTGTATCAGAGACCCAAATAAAGGGGTACTTTCAGATATTTCAGGACTGCACCAGAATTCTGAATTTTTAAACCTGTCTCTTCAACCCTGCTGCTCCGCTCCCAGGCTTTGCGCTTTAGTGGCAGTGGGAACAACTCTCATTGCCCCAGACATATACAACCTTCTCTCCTGTTCTGACTTTCTGTCCTAATCTGTAAAACGGGAGTACTGGTGGTCTCCAGGCCATTAAAATGCTCACTATTATTTTGTACTAGGAAGTATCGTCACCTCGGTTTGGTGAAAACAGACAGAACTGTACCCCTCCATAATTGGGCGGCAGCAGATGTTTGCGCCCAGTGGATATGCTCGATTCTTGCAGTGGTGACCCAGATGACCTTTCTCTTCATACTTCAAGGTTCCAAGGACAATAGTTAATGGGCACCAAAGGTCAAGTTCAAGCCTATAGGAACACAAAGCAGGGATCACAGTGTTTCCTGTTCCAGGCATTACAATACTACCTCATCTGACCAGGGCTCTGAACTTACATTATTACTCCATTTCATCTTTCTTCCACCCCAAAAAGGAGATGCTGCTATGTACTGCCCATTTTATAGAGTACAAACAAGTCCACATAGTTTTAATGATTTAACTCAATCATGCCAAATGTTTCTTAAGTGGCTTACTTTAATAATGCTTCTCCAGAAATGAATGCCAGGTATTGAGTAAAAGGTTCCAGGGAGGTCAGAGTTGGCCTAGAACCTAGGAACACATTCTGGTATGATGAAGGATGTGCTCTTTGGAAGAGATGCTCCCTTACCCGTGTTATGTCTGAAATGGAAGCCAAGACGGTACCCAGTGAGCAGCAGGTGGGAAGCTCTGAGGCTATACAAAGTTGGCTGAGGTTTGTTCTTATCAACCTTGGGAGAGAAGACTGAAGAATTTTTCTCCCGGGAAATGGCCTCCTCCCAGACAGGACTGCAGGAGACCCCTGCCCACATTTTCTAGAACAGCATTCTGAAACCATGAGTAGTCACTATGACAACCAAGGTCTTTTCACCACCTGCTTCTAAGGCTTCACTTCCTCCGCACTTGGTGGTGGTGGGGGAGGGCTGCAAGGGCTTCTCAGCAGAAAGTTAGTGGGCAGGGGCTCAGAGCCACCTTCCCTAAGAAGAGGGTGGCGGGAGCCTCTGTCAAGTGGCCTCTGTCAAGGTCAACCCTAGGTGTGAAGAGAGTGAAGTGGAGCATGGACCAAGAGTGGGGTGAGGTACTTCTGGACCTTTCCTGAAGGCTGTCTTCTGAGGTTTTTCAGTCTTGTGGACACAAGCTCTTCTCAGCGCTCTTTGCTTTCTTGTTACCCAAATCGTGCTTCCTATCTGGGCTCAGTGTTTGGCACTTCCACTGGGGCTGCCTTGTGACCCACTGAGCATGCTTTCTGTGACCCCCATACAGCAAGTGCCAGCACAACTATGGCACGGATCGTCCTCAGCCCATGCCTGTCTTCATTCTGTGTCTAAAGCCTTGGGTATATGTGGGCCTTTGTCCAGCTGTTGTGCAGGCTCCCAGGGGCAGGAGGTCTGCCACCAAGTACCACTTTGGTTTTCCCACTGCAAGCTCTGGCCTGGTACAGAGAACTGAGTGAATTTGTCAGTGGAAGAATGAATTAAAAGTCAATACAAGAAAGGAAGGGAGAAGAAAGCTGCAAAGAAACAGAGAAGACAGATAAGAGAACAGATGAATAAGATCTCCTGGTGCATCCTCTACTTACCCAGCCTGGCACGGAAGCTTCGGACAGTGTTGCCTCCTCCTGGTGGAACACCTCTTCGGTTGTACTTCTCATAGAGCCTAAGCATGTGGACAGCGACCATGTCCTGGGCGCCTGGTCCCAGAGCGGCTGCTGCGTCCCCGGGTAACTGCTGGGGTTCCCTGTCCCCCTGCAGACCTTCAGCTGCAGAGGGCAGTGAGGACCATGAGGGGCCTCTGTGGCCACAGCCTACACTCCGCAGCAGCAAGAGCAGCGGCACCATGGGCAGTAGCTGGGACCCCAAGCTGATCCGAGCAGGACCTGGAGCCATGGCTGAGTGATGATGGTGAAGGGTCTGAGCCCAAGAGGACAGAAAGGGAGGGCTCGGTGTTGGCTGTGCACCTCGTCCGCGACTGGAATGTCCGTGTGGGACTAGGACAGTCTGGATGACCCGATTCGAGGTGGTGGGATTGGCTCGCGGTGGCAGCGCTGTGCGCCGAGCATCCACACTGCCGGGCCAGCGGTCACAGCTATCCTGAGCCGCGTGGAGCTCAGCCGAGCCCGCGCCGGCGCGCTCCCTTGACGGCCTCGAGCTGCAAACTTTGCAGTCCACGGAGCGGCGCTGGGACTGGCGAGTTCGAGGGGCGGGGCGGGGCGGGGTGACCGACAGAGCCCTGGGGCGGGGAGGGGGGAAATCCGGCTGGGTCCCCACTCGCGGTCGCCAAGAGCCGGTCTGTGGCCCCGGTGTGCTGTGCGTGCGTCCCGGTGTGCAGGCGTGCGCGCGCCGGGGTGTGCGCTCGCGAGTGTGGGGGCCGTGGGTGTGGGCGGGCGCGTTCCCCGCTCCCCCGCCGAGAGCGGGAGACCAGCCCCGCAGCCGGCTCCGGAGTGTCGCTGCCTGCAGCTGAGCCAGGGCGTCGCGGGGGCTGGGCGGACTTTGGAGGGGGGCCCTCCTGCGGGGTTGTCCCTGCAATGGCATGCTATGGCTATGTGGTTGGAAGATGACAGCTCCCCCATGAGGACCCCAGAGGCCATGTGTGCCTAGTTGTCTCTGAGCTAGTGTGTGCTCAAAATGCAAAGGTGCAGTCTTGGGAACAGGAGCTCTGGGGATTTAACAACAGAAGGTGTGTGTGTGTGTGTGTGTGTGTGTGTGTGTGTGTGTGTGGTTCCAAAGCTCAACCAACCTAAGTCGGTGGAAGCAGGATCTTGCTCAAAATACATTAGAATCATCACGTTAACCGACCCTTTATTTGGCAACAGTGATTTCACTTGTTGAAGAAATACATCAAAGGTCCGTAGAAAGCTTCGGACAGGATTGCTAAAAAAGAAAAGGACATGCTTTCAATTTACTTTATAAAAAGTTTCAAAGCATCAGGGAGGGAGGAGAAAAAGCCCATAGTTTTTTTGAAAAAGAATTCCCGATGAAGTGCTGGTGTAGGGTGTCCTGATCCCTGCTAGGCAGCTTAGTCCTGGGGCAGAAGGGCGGGCCCCAAAGGTGCTTCATTCTAGCTGAGTTACTTCCCTATAGATAGAATTCGGGGTCCTGGTGGGGAGAAATCTGCTCATTTTTACCAACTTTAACTGAAACATAGCAGTTTCTAATGTTATGCGAACAAGCAAGCAATCATAGTGGCTTTTCACAGACAGACACTAGTCAGATATTTTTATTTGACAGGAAAAGGTGTTCCAGATTTCCCAAAGTAAATTTTTTGTTTAAACTACATTCAAATGACAACAACTCTTGGGTCCTGCTAATTAAGGAATTAATGAAATGGAATATTCATTATTGTTATGCTGCAGAGTTGCTTTAAGATGTTTTTATGTATTATAGTACTGTTGGTTTTCCTTTGTTAACCTGGGAATTTCACTTTGTGCATTTAAAATCATTCTTTAGAGGAGGAGTCCACAGAATTTAGCAGGCTAGAAAGGAGTCTAGGACCCTAAACTTGAAGGAATCTTTAGACTCTAAATGCTGTGACCCTTTAATACAGTTCCTCCTGTTTTGGTAACCCCCAACCATAAAATTATTTCTATTGCTACTTATGTAATTTCACTGCTGTTTTGAATTGTAGCGTAAATATCTGCTTTCCATTCACATGGATGTAGTAGACCCACCTGAAAATGTCATTAGTTCTTCAAAACGGTCGCGACCCACAGGTTGAGAACCTCTGCATTACAGGGACAGCCCCCACCTCCCAAGCCCACACTCTTCCAGAAAGCCCGTGAATGGACACCCTCTGTGCTGCATGGTAATAATTTGCACACTTGTGAGCCCAGTGTTTCTCTTATCTGGTAACTGGGTTCTGGGAGCCAAAATAGTTACTTTTTTTGGAGTGATCACAATGCAATAATTGAAAATTTCCTGGAAAAGCTTTCTGTCACTGCACAAATGACTATTTCTAGTTTTTTTTTTTTTAAATCTCATTCTGTCATATTAGAGCCCATCCTATCCAGAGCTATGAAACTTTAGCTTGTAGTTTTTGGAAGCGCTGAGAGATGCCGTTTATTATGTGTATAAATATATAGTGTTTTGAAAATAACTCACATTACATTCAACTTCTCATTCATATCCAGTTCCCACTTGTTCTGTGAACTGGCTTTCCCCAAATGGCTTGTCTGGAATCGTGAGTCCGTCAAATTCCAGCCTTGTGGCTGAATCTCTCCTTATAAATGAACCAGACCATCCTCCCTTATAAATGTCCTCCCCCACCTCACTTCCCTCCATCTCCATGTGCCCTCACTTCCCCTTACCACCCCCTTGTCTCCTCTCCCCCAGAATGCCTCTGACCTGTGCCAGCTGGGGGTAACCTCTGCTCAGGGGTAGTTTTGTCTCTGCTGGGGCCAACACAATCGAGGTCTGTGAAAAGGAGGGGAGTCTGCAGGAGGCCGGCACAAGCTGGGCTATTCGGATCCTTGTCCATTAAAGCCTCCTCGAGCTCCTTAACTCATTCGGGCTCCATTCAAGCCAGCTCGAGGGTCAGGCTTTAGCAGGCTCTAAAACCTGTAGGGTACAGATTCTTTGACATTGTTTCGAAAGAATTAAGGCATCAGCCAGGGATGGCTAATATTTCTTGCCTCATTTTATTGCTGAACAGCAGGACTGTAAAGTTTTGAACACTGGAGCACTGTGGCCCCCTTTCATGTGGCCGAGATGATGGGATAAAAATGTGTTTGGTGAAGCAATTCAGATTACCACTGGGTCACATCCTTGCTAGCTCCCAGCACAGCACTCTAAGCAGCAAAGCACAGACAAGAAGCAATCTGTGCGAAGGCAGCTCGTGTTGAACGGTGTTTGAGCGTGGAAATGAGGCTAATTGTGGAGCTTGCCAATGAACATGTTTTGTTTTTAATAGCTCAGGCTGTGGCTCAGAATAATAAGAGTGGAGACGGCTGACTATGGATCTAAGTCTTCCAAGCCCCTGCTTCCGTAGCTTCCCACATAGTAAATCTGCTCTTGGGGCAGGGGGACCATTCTGTTAAAAGCAGGCTCTTGACCTTATGTGTTGAGATGCAGGCATATCCTCTCTAGAGATAGGATACTTAGGGGGCTACAGCCTTCATTCTTCTGTGCCAAGCATTCCGGGGGCGGGGAAGAGGGTTGTCTTTAACTCATAAGATCATGAGAAAAAGGTGAGGAGTTCCTGTGATTGGAAGGCCCACACCTCAATATAGCAGGGGATAATCTGATAGCTCTAAATAGCAAGGACCACAGGCTTTCTTAGACATCGCTCCCCAGGATGGACGGCAAATAAAAAGCTCTTCCTTCCCTCATTTGATAGTCCTACCCTATTCTTCTGTGGCTGAGTTAGTTTGTGATTCTAACCAACTCTGTTGCTCTGGGACAGCACCTCAGTCCCTCCAAACCTTGAAAAGCTATCTCAACCCCAGAACTGTATGCTGTGTCTGTGGCTTTGTGTCAAAGAAGTCTTGGGAGTGGTAGCATCCATGTGGCCCTGTGAAGTCACTTAGGGGCTATGTTCATGTCCCATTTCCACTATTACCCAGCTGTGTGACCTCAGGCAACTTCATCACATTCTCTGAGCTTCAGTTTCTTCAGCTCTAAACATGGACAGGAGCAGAGCATTGTGAAGTTTATTGGTAATGTTCTAATGAGAGATGGTAGGAAATTGTACTGATGACATTATCACCGCTCTTGTTGTGGTGGGTTTGAAAGAGGTCCTAGCACATTCACAGTGGAACCAGACACGGAGATACTTGGTGAAAAGCTCTGCAGAGGAATCCCTTTTGTTGGTGTGCACTGCTAAAAGCTACATGGGAAGGGATGTGTTTCCCTGACTAGCGGGTGTTAGCCCTCCAGAATGAGCTGTTGTTATCCCTGTGTCTGTGGCATGATTCACTGCTCTTCATCTAAATTTCCAAAGCTCTTGGCCCTTAAAAGACAAAAGAAATGCCAGCAAGTCCCTGTCCCCATTTGGGGTATGAGCTGTGGGGCGCTCGAGACAAGAATCTCAGGGCCTCTCTAGGCTGCCAGGCCAGAGTGTAATAAATCTGTGAAATAACAAGCACAAAGGACTTTATAATCAATGACAGATTTTATTTTTGCTCTGGCAAAATCCATCCACGGAGTTCACATTTTATGGGGGAAATAACTACCCAGTCTGCGACTCCTCCTCAGCCCAGTATTCTCTTTCTGAAAGTTGGGAAAACTTACAGGATCAGAATCAGCTTCCTTGAGAACCCTGGCTAGGGAAAGCGTGACTTCCCCTGGGCGGGAACTCAGCTCTCCCTGTACTTCCTAGGGTGGCGAGGGCCATTCATTTCTGTTTTGCTAAAATACCCGTGACATGTGAATAAACCAGGATTACAGAACATTGTCTCGGACAGTAATCTGAGACTGCATGGGCTCTGGTTTGATGAAATATGGTGCTCTCTGAGCAAACATGGGGCTTGGTATTACTTCTCGTTAAAGCTGAACAGTGGGACTATTTAGAACCCATGCATGAATGCAGCCCTGTGGGGAGTGACAATTTGAAGGGAACCGATTTGGAGAAGGGGGTGGTGGGGAGTGTGTGTGTTTGAGTTGGCTAGGGCCAGCTAAGAGGAGTCTGCTGGAGAGGCAGCCAAATAGACACTTTGGAAATCGCGACTCCTTTGGGGTTGTGCGGCCTCCTTACAACCCCCAAATAATCTTCCTCGAAACCTTTGATGGTCTTTTTTTTTGAGAGAGACAAAGCCGATGTCCTCTGGCTGGCATTCAGGCCCTTGCCATCTGTCCTGTTTGTCTTGGTTGAGACTTTTTCAGTCTCTTCCTGTCTGTCCTCTCATGCTCCAGAATTCAAAAGGGTCACATTCCATCTCTCAGTCCCCTCCCAGCTCCCATCTTGGTACTTTCAGGTGACTTCAGTGGATGTTGTCACGCACATCTGATGTCCCTCTGGGATCCTGACTCTCAAGCTACTAACTACTAGGAGACTGCTGTCCACTGAGGGTCAGGAGCCATGTCCGAGTTCCTCCTCAGGAATCGTCAGTGAGCTGACTTGCACAGTTTCTCTCTGTCTTTGTTCCTTCAGGGTCAGCCAAGTACAACAGGCAGATAGTTCTGGGTGC